AGAAGTAATTCAACGCATGTACGGACCAGGTTAACATGCAGGTTGATGAGGCGTGACAATTTAAAAATAGTAAACATGTCCGGGAAAAGTTTTAAAGATATAGGGGTATGACTTTGTACGCTTTCAATAACAAGTTTCTACATTTAGCCTAGTGACACATGTGACAAAAGCAACTGGAAAATATATACATGTCAAGTACAGAAAACCATCCAGTAAAATAGTTGAACTCCCCTGGATTATTTTTGAAAATTGGAATATTAAATAGACGACATATGTAACGCCATTCGTGAGAAGTAATGATCCAAAAGCATCCAGAATAAAACATGCAGTATGGTAATTAATTCCAGGGTTCTTGGTGCCGCTGAGGTTTTTGTCACTTGCTCGGATCAGAACAATTGAAGGAATCCAGATAATTGTGTGGTTGCCATTGAACGAGCCATCTAAAATGACCTTATGATTGCAGAAAACTTATAGCTAAAACTCACCGTATGTTTTTGTAGTAGTGTCATCCGTGTTGTTTGGCAATGGAACTCGAGAATTGGAAATTAGGCAGGCAGTGGTCGGAAGAAAAAAAATATTACAGGATAGTGCAAAGTTTAAGACAGAATGGGTTAAGTGAAGGAACACTAAGAATTAGATCCAGATAAATATTTAGTCCTTGATTTCATGGTTAGTCAATGTATATTCAGGTTATTTGCAGGTCAAATTCGCTAGAGCTTGATGGTAAACTAAGTTTATTTCGCTGAAGCATGAAAATGCTACTAAAACTTGTTAACGAACCATCAAAAGCTAATTAGTCAATGTAGATGACCAGTTTTTATTATTGATTGAGCTAGTAAGTTATGAGAACTAATCAATATAACATTACGATAATACATATGAGCATTAATCAGAGGACTATTAGAATAATGGGTTTACATAAGTAAATATCGATCAAAAAAGTGGAAATATGGATGAAGAATAAGAGTTTGCGTTTCTTAAGTCGGGCTCACCAATTTAGAATTATGGTCTATTATGATATTAGCACTGCTCTAATAGTAGACCTAATCCTAAAATTGTAGATTTATCATGATGTAACTGCCTAATCTATAAGATCTTACGTGGAAGTTACAGCATCGTCTACACCAACTCATTGCATTGTGACAATTACCAATACGTGATAGAGAACAAGCTTAGGCTAGAGATAGAATATATTTAATAGGAATAGAAGATACAAGATAACATTCAGCTGGGACCACGCCTGCAAGACCGAGCCATGCCATCCGATGAACTCGGACTAATTCAATTTATTACTCCCGCCTTCTCCATTCTTCTGTATTTCCCCGCGTTAAATGTTTAATGTCTATTTCTCATACTGTCTCGTGGTAGGGCCCAATGCCACTACAAGCGAACATGTATGTATTATCATCCTCAACCGTTTATATACAGTACTACAGCTAGATAAAGACCGTCCCTCGTTTCGTACACAGTCATGAGGGTGTAGAGTGGCGTCGAGTCGCTGTTGACTATGAAAACCGCTACAAGACTACGTGCCAATGAACCAATAAGATCCCCGTAGGCCAATATCAGAAGACAGATGATGGCTGTAGTCGAGATGTATTTGTTGGCGATCTCGTGGTATCGAAAGAATACCGAGATCGTGCCAGATTACAAGTGGGGTTACAGAGCGTAGCCGAATTCGTACAATGTCAAAGTCAACGGGAGGAGAATAATGGCTGTCTTTAGTACAGTTAAACAAACGAGCACAGTAAAACAATCACTGGTACAATTGGTTATAATAATGATTGTTTCCATTAAACCAATCGCTTTCTGTTGATAAAAATAGGTCACTACAATGAATTCTCAGAGAAATGTGGTGCAACAACCTAAATGGGTGTACAAATAGCGGCAAGCTAGATAGGTGTATAAAAGAACCGCAACTGACTGTTCCCTCTGTACCGCATAAGGTTAGCCATTCGAAACACTTAGTGGGTTTTTGAATAAGATTATCACATAAGCATAACCTGGAATACTTAATATGCTGCAAATTAATGATAAAGTCTTCCAGCCCAATGAGAATATTCATAGCTGCTGTTACCAGTAGTCATAAATTTTGTCCTCAGTTTTGGATGAGCAACGAACTAGCACTGATAACGTTGGTGATAGTAAAAAGCACTAGACGTAGAATATACAGTGTGTAACCAAACAGTAGACTCCAAAATAAAAGCTAAACGACAATATACATACTTAAGATCTGAAAGAAAATAAAAACGGAATGAACCTTAACCATTAAAAATGCTTCTCACAACAGTATGGAAGTGGCCACTGAAGGTAAGATGCCAGTATATATATATATATATTTCTTGAGAAATAGCAATGTGCCAGATCGATACTGAATATTTTCAAAACGTACCAGAACTGTACACTCAATGATTTACTAAAGACTACCTCCGGTCTCTAAGTCAACTGAAATGAAGTTGATTTCATTGTTCTCTGACATTTCCGACTTGACTAAATCAGGATGTAATAGGCCAATATATGGATCCGATAAGTACTTTTGTATCTGTAAAATTTACTCTTAAGATTACATGAGGCTTTCAATGTACATATTGGGACTGCTGCAAGCTACGTGAACTTATTTGCACTCCTTATATACTAGCCTCCGTTCACTGTAGAGTAAAAATCAATTATGAAACTGTTCAAGTCACGTGGCCCTTAGTCTCAGTTTAGTACCTTTATGTCTCTTCATCTTGACTATCTCCGGCTTGAATATCATAATTTTCTATTTGTCTGCTACGGTCTTAAGAATAAATAAATCTATACTAGACAAAGTCAGTACTGATTGTTGTTGAGCTTAACGTGTGTTTCAATGTATGATTCAGGACCCATTGACTGGCATTTTAAGAAATAGATACAATCGGCATTAAAGAATGGTTGGATTAGATTTTAGGTTTATTTCACAGCCATTCGTGCGCAGAGAGATCGGATGTCCTTCCCTAGGCTTCATCTTTTCAGTGGTATAGCAGGTAGAACCCTTTCGTAAATTATCCATGTTTGACATTTATTTATTGATATCAAGCCTCAATATATGAGATGCTTGGTGTTCAAATACCAATACCGATATTCCACTCGAAAAGCTCATCTGAATTTCTCTCTGTAAATAACTGAATTTACCCAGGTCTAATAATGTGCAATCATTTTCAGAATGTGGTTGCTTTCGTTGTCTGATTGTGAATTACTTAATGTGAAACACACTTTTAGAGATATCATAGGTCTTAACTAGTGTCATTCTCAATAGGAATGAATTAACGTAGGTTAAAACAGGGAGGTGTGGAATTATGATCTACTATGATATTAGCACTGCTCTAATAATAGACCTAATCCTAAAATTGTAGATTTATCATGATGTAACTGCCTAATCTATAAGATCTTACGTGGAAGTCACATCATCGTCTACACCAACTCATTGCATTGTGACAATTACCAGTACGTGAAAGGGAACAAGCTTAGGCTAGAGATAGAATATATTTAATAGGAATAGAAGATACAAGATAACATTCAGCTGGGACCACGCCTGCAAGACCGAGCCATGCCACCTGACCAACTCGTATTAATTCAATTCATTCCTTATTCCCGCTCTCTCCATTGATGGGCATTTCCCAGCGTTAAATGTTGAATGTCTATTTTCCATTTTGTCTCGTGTTAGGGATCAATGCCACTACAGAGGCACTTGGGAAATGTGTGAAAGTAAAGATAAACCGTTGTCAATAGATGCCAACATGTTGATTATGATTGTCCCACCGTAATCATAGATCAAACGACTAACCGTAGACTGAAGGTACATGTGGCTGCCAAAGCAAATGTCGATGTTCTTCACTCAACATTCAAAAGCAGTAAAGACACACCTTATATGCATCATCTCATTTTTTATTACCCCGAAATAGGTCAGGAATGTAGTTGTACAATCACGATGAAAACAACATTTAAATAACTTTGAGTCTGCATAAATGCACGTTAAAAGAATGTTAAATAATATACTTCGTCTATTAATGACATATTTATTTAAATGTAAGTCGTGAAACTCATCCACCTCATATTGGATCAAAACAACAACTCACATGGCTTTATTTAAGCTTTATCTAGACGCATTCAAAGCATTTTAAGCCAAATCGTTCATTTTACGTACTTCATTCGAACATTAGAACTAATAAATTTTAAAATTTTAAGACACTTTAGAAAACTTGCTTTCATCTGGCACAGCTATAAACTCATATAAATGAGCTTATCTAAGACTATGTCATATGGGAACCAGTTCTCTACAGCGATGACAAGAAGTAGGATTTTTGTTCTGCAATAAAAAAATACTTCGTGAATTATGTTTCAGCTATAAACGCCTTAACGAGGTTGAAGCATTAGTTGGATGAAACTTTATTAAAAGTTAATCCGCGAATTGGAAGTTCAACTGTCATGAACGACGATTTAATATCTTACCAATACAAATCGGAATGTACTATGAGAGAATGAAGCTTTCAAGTTACAATCCAACACTGTGTTTTCAAAGGACATCTGTGCAAATCAATGCGAAGCATAAACCAGCTTATCAAATGAATAGCTAAACAGCATCACAACACAAACAAATAATCAAATGAACGATGAATATAGAAAGTACATTGCTGACTAACATAATTAAAATTTAATTCGTGAGTCTTCGGAAAGGAAGATATAAAATAAATATATGTTTAATCCAAAAACACTGATTTGCCTCCATAAATCATACATCAAAAGAACTTTTACGAGTGGACATTCCGGATAGTTTCAGCAAATGACCAAGTTGTTAAAAAGATTGAATTACGATGGACTTGTGGAGAAGACATGTCTAGAAGGAAACTTAAATATTACTATATATTTAAAAGTAGTTTGATTGTTTCAAGAAGTTAGGAGTTTTATTATATCAAAATTTCATGAAGCTTTAGTTTGTTTTATTGTATAGAAAAACGTATAGTGACCTTGATATCTATAACGATTTTTTGAGAAAATTTGAAAATGAACAAAAATTGTCAAAACAATTTTTATTATTTAGTGAGCTATTCAGGGTCAAGATTGTGAATACCATCTCTCTAAATAAACCATGGACTATTCTCGGCTTCCAGATAAGACTGTTAAACTTTCTGAACTACTGGACCTTGCTCTTGGAACACCTGATGTAATAGCTATAATATAAATCATAAATCTATTTTAGCCAGGGTCGGTTAACTTCGGCATACTGTATATCATTTTATCACATATAATAAAGCACCTCAAACTCAGCGATGTGGAGACAGATGTAGAGAAACCATCAAATGAACCTCAGTCACAGAATGATGCGAAAATATCAACTTCTGAATTGGCCCCAAATATATTCCATAACATTCAAGTAAGGTTGGCTATGTAACGTTTACGCTTTTGTTGTAAAACCCCATTTTCGAGGTCATTCGTCTCGCTATAAAGAGCTGCTTTAGGTTCCATGGCACAGCTGGGTCAGTTATTAAAATCTTCCTTAAGGAGTTATATATTGCATGATTAATCAAAATCGGCTTGTGAATAAATAATTTTTGGCCCGACTTTACTTTATGGACGAATCTTTTAGGTATAAGATAACAGGTATCGGACTTTGACGCAAAATTCACTCGTGAATTTGGATAAATAAAGTTTTGGCATTATAAGTGATGTCAGTTCGTGATGAAATCATAATCCGAATTACTCACACTAATTTAAAACTCACATTTGATCCTAGCTATCAAGTGAATACATTCGAGGTCAGTCTAGAGTCGTTTAAAGATCGTCCATAAATTATAGTCCTGCCGTACTTTTTTCAAGCACATTTTTAATTCCAAAAATTAAATCAGTTCTGTATGCTACTCAATAATATGGATGATTTTAGCTTACATTATCATTGAGGTATACGAATAATATAGTAATATAATGACATATAATTCACCACGTTTAGTAGATATGTATAATATTCTCTACTACATTTTAGTGACCATAATAACTTCTACCTACATCTATGTATTCGTAGTAGGAAAAAGTCAAACAAGTATCTTAATTAACTGTGAATATACTTTTCTAGAGCATGAGTAACTAAGTTTTAATAAAGTTTTCAGTCTTAAATGTTTGTAGATGGATGTTCAGCCAATAAACATATCGGTTTTCAGCATCAAATTAAAATATTTGAATTCCAACTAAACTGATTAGTTGATTTGACTCACAGTTTAAAACCACATAGTAAGAAACGAAAACAGAGACATAATAGTGTAACTAATTCGTTGCGGAATACTTATATGAATGGTCAAAAACTTAATTCTAATGTCTGCTTGACTTGTTGTTATTATATCTTCCCATATTAAGGTCTAGAGTCCTCAGAAATTAATTTAAAATCACAAAAAATTTCTATATATCTCTTTTTGCTTTAAAAGCCGTAAGTATCTACATTTGTTCGATAACTGACTGTTCAAAGTAGATTTTAGGGGGTTTGAATTTCATACGGTTATTAAAACTTGATTTTTGAATGGTATGTGTTGTATGGTAAGCTTTTACAACGAACATTATGGTTTGTTCTAAGCGTAAAGTATAGAAGGGTTAACCTAGGATGAAGTAGCTAGCTCAGAACGAAGAACATAGTTTAGAATTAGCGCATTAGATTGAATACCGGTAATTATGAAACGATATCAAGCGGATCGTAATCCGAATTCGTTATCCTCTCGACATGAAACTTCTAACAGTTTAATGTCTCATAAAGTGATAGCACATTCTGAAGCGGTACTCATAAATGTTTTACAGCTTAATTTTACCCAAGCAAAAACTATTCAAGTAGATTTTAACTAAAGTTTTATGTTTAGTAAATAGTTTACGACTAGGATTAGTTTTATTCACGATATTTTCTTATTAAGCAGTTTAACATTTCTTTGGGGGAAAATAATAATTTAATAAAAATTTTGTGGTTATTTTGTAATCCGATGTCTATCCTTTAATCGCAAAATAACAAATATAATTTTTGTCAATCGAACCTGTGAAATTTAAATTGTAGACCGTCTTTTTATCGATCCAAAATCTAATGATGTATGCCAAATACTAGTTTTATTTAGGTCTAAAAGAATTCTAAATGTAGTAACGTGAACTGATGGGCTGATGCATCAAGTTTTACGCTTTTTCAACCAACCGGTAATGTAAAAAGCTTTTTGAGCAAAAAATTAAACAATACTAAGATGTTTAAATGTAATGACTGTAATGAAACGTATGTAGGTGAAACATCAGGGCAATCGAATGTGAGGGTGAAGGAACACAAACTGTGCTTATAGCACATTCCTAAATCCTCGGATGATGTAAGAAAACTTGAGGACAAATCAGCGATAGCATTATACTCAATTAAACCGGGTCATACAGTTTATTTTACTGGCGCAAGAACCATTCAAAAAGGCTGTAATTCATACAAAGAACGACTAACAGCCAAAGCCCTACATATATGGGCTAATTCAAACAGTATTAATAGGAGAAATGGAATACAATTAGCTGTCCCATGGCAACTAATACTTAATAAGTAAACCTGAACTCCTTATTCTATTCTATCTATCTATATCATATTAGCTAATCAGTAGATAATACATTCAACGGTTCAAATCAGCTATCTTATCTGAATACGTTAAACAACGACTAGAACATTAAAATAAAACAAACTTTCAATTACAAATACATTCTTTCTCTTTGAATTCAATCTTTGATCTTGTTTATTTATCTTCATTTAATGCATGCTGTGACATTTTTGATTCATTTCATATATAAAATGATATGTTTTCTTAATATACACATACGGAAGACAATATATAGTTGGATGAAATTTCTTCTCACATCACTTACATAGACAAACAATCTTTTATCTTAACACTTTTCATTTTACAACACATGTCTCTTACACACTTATGTAAATACCTACTTTAAGCAGTGTTCACATTGATTTTATGTCATATTCTGTATATAGTAAACCATAGAACCATGTATCTATTTATATTTGATAATTTCGTTGTTTGACTATACTTTCCTTGAAAAAGCTTGGACCAGATTGCCAGGCGAAATGTTGAATTTACTTCAAATTCTTTCGCTGAAATGTTACAAATACATTTTTTCCTTTTAATGTCTCACATTAACTGGGCGCCCAAATATTGTGAAACTATTTGTTCAAATTTAGATGAAAGTTCTTATTTAATACCAAGATGATGATGGAAATAAATAAGAACTTTGAAATCTGAATCGAAATTTATTTCAACACTCACCTTATGCTCTACTAAATATTCTATTAGACAAAAGTCCGAACTAGGTTTTATTTAAACCAGACATTTATCCAATATTCTTTGACTAAGAAGACAATCATACATTGTACTTCATATTAATAAACTTAGAATGGTAACCGATTCCAAGTTGTTTGGATATTAGTGTTAACTGAATTCGGTCTGGAATACTTACAATACACTCACTAGTTCAAATGACTAGTAGCTAAAATTCATCACTATTTAGTATTGGGTGGTTTGAAGTGATTAGCAAAATGATGAGACAAGAATGATAGGAACTTCGTACTATGAGATCGTCCATTCTTCATTCCCAAATCTGATCACACTCCCAGTGTAGTGAAAGTAGACTTGAATATAGTAAACTGCTAAATTATTTTATGCTAAACCCCACACTGCTTTCGTAAAATACAATAATCATACATTGAACGCATAATTTGCGCATTTTCCTTGAGTCGTCCTTTATATAATCTATCATTCTTCTTGTTCTGATTTTATTCCGATTGCTCTTTGTTTTTCTTCATGTTCTTTTCATTTCAATCTTCTGCTTATAAGCATTATACCTCCAATTCCTGCTAAATACTACTTATATCTATCCTCATAAGTAGCGCACACCACACTGGCATATATATATATATATATATATATATATATATATATATACATTGGTCACTACGAAGCTATCAAGCAACCGCAAATATGTCTTGACTTAAAATGTCTCTCCAATCGTTTTGTATGTACAGTTAGAGTAATGATGATCTTTCATTTAGTTTGACATTGTATAGTTATGAATATATTGACAACATTTAAAGTAGCGTTATACGATTCTAAGGTTACTTGACATCTGTAAGCTTGAAAGAAGCATTTCTACGATGTCAACTTGCTGGTAAAAATATCAATCCAACACTTTCTATTGTACAACTTATTTTTAATGTTCAAACTAACCGGTAGAAAAATCAAGTGAACCCAAAAGAAATCAAAACTTAATTATTTTCTTGATCTAATGTTAACATCTTAGATAAATATGATTAAATAATCATATTCAAAGTTATTTTACGCTAACTAGTGTATATTAAAGGTGGAACTGTGCTACATTATTAACATAATCTAGAATTCATAAAAAAAATGTTTTTATCAGTATGAGCTTGTAAAGATTTTGATGGAGTTTTGTTCTATGAGCAGGATGATTTGATTGTGGAGTTTTCATCGTTCTTCTGAACGACATCATCAGCACAAACTTTTGGTAGAAGTTGTAAAGATTATTATTAAGTTTTTGATTGAGATCATGAACCGATTGATGTTAAGCCACCATTAAAAACCTAGAAGCACTGGATGGCCGTTTCATTCTATTGTACAACTCTTCAACAATCCGTATTTACGATCTAGCTTGCGGGATGAAACAGCCGTCTAGTGCTTCTAGGTTTTCAATAAGGATCTAACATCAATCAGTACATGATCTTAATCAAAAAAATTTTCACCTTTTTTCATATAAAGAATGTATTCTTGATCATCTTTGTAAACATTAAATTATCCTATGAAATTACTAATAATTGATTTTCTTTATTGAAACATTCTAATCTTATAGTTTAACTGTATTGAATATCATATTGAAAATCTCTATGATTATAACTCGAAACAGCCTATATGATTTGAGAGATATAGTTATTTCATGCAAATTAATGAATGACTATGAGATACTTTAGATAATAACAGAGATTTTTACAAATTACATAGATTAACAATAAACACACAACAATACAATAGGGTTACATTATTAACGAGTTACATGCGATTAACGAAAGTAAATGATGATGTAAATAAACGTTGTTATGTGTATAGAACGAAGTAACCAATATAATAGATTTCAGTGATCAATCAATTGTGATTACATCTCAGTCCTACAGGAGGTCGGTCGCGGCCCGGATAGCTCAGTGGTAACGTCTCTGACTGTGAAGCTGGGTGACACGGGATCGAATCCGCCAGGGAGCACCAGTTCCCTCAAAGATTACAGGTACACCTTGCTGACGAGTGCCAAGTAGCACGAAACCCGGGTCCAGGGTTTCCTATCGACTACCCCCAACCACCATCGAATCTT